GAAGAATTAATTCTGGACTGTTGTTATCAATGACGAATACCAATTCCGAGTAACAGCTTAAGTAGCATTTAATTAAAAAAGAATGAGCTATTTGACAACGGGAGATAAGTGACTTGGTGTAGTTAGTATACGTATTTATTCTAGCAAAATATTAATTTCATTATTTTTTCCAAAATACATTAATCTTATGTATTGAATATATATTTTCCTGTGTTCTAACCAAAGGGAAAAATGTTTTTATATTAATTCATGTTCCGCAGGTCGATTGTTTTGATCGAACGTTTATATGCAATTTATAAACGCACAGTTTTACTAAATATGCTTACGAAGTAACTAAAGAAACCAGCCATTTTCCGGTTTCACTACTATTTTACATTTTTATCCTACTTTCAATTTTATTCTTCTATTGTTTAATGTCAATTATTTTTATTATTAGAAAAATGTTCGAAAGAAACGAATTTTGTATCCAATACTAACTCGACACAAAGTATACGTAACAATATACTATTAATTGAATTTGAAAGGATTAAAGAGAGAACGGGCTTTCAGAAAGAAAACGTGCATAGATCATACATCTCCCTACACGTCACATATTTTACCTGTCTTTTCCCGTTACATCTATACAAAATTTTGAAATGAAAATTTATTTATATGGGTTTTCTTGTTCTTGTCAGAGAAAAATCACGGCGTTCTATATGCCGTATTCAGCGAATCCTGACACATACACATTATCAGCAAAGGCTTCTCAATTACAGAGATGTCACGTCTCTACACGATCATAAAATTGAAATGACTGTCGTTGTTCTCATCTTTGGCACTTCATTCACTGTACTCTGTCCTCCATAATTGGGCCTTTGAGCAGCTTATTACAACGTGAACGGGAAATATTTCCGTCATCTCACCCACCATCTCGTCGTAATCATAAATTCCGCTCCTCTCTCTTTCCTCTTTCCCCGGAGCTCATCGCCGAGTCGCCGACTGTGTCTTATCTGCACGACTTCATTACCCTAACATTAGTTTGTACGTTGGAGAAATTCTCGGTAACTGTGATTTTCACTCTGTAAATGGAAAGAGGGAGGGGAGGGTTGCTGTGACGCAAGTAGGTGTATCTTGTTCCAGCAACTTCTTGAAGTGTTTACTTTAAAAAATTAAAAAGAACGCTTTACTCCTTTCCAGCTCCAGGCATGTGGACGTGCAGGGGCTAATAAGAACTTGCTCCATCATGGTAGAGATACACATTTAATAACCCGTTTAGTTTGGTGTGCTTGGATGATGTCATCGGGTCTAATACAAAATTTATTTCTGCAGCGCATGTTTGCGAACAAATGTAGACGATACCGAATGAATGTGTGCATGAGTGACTGAGTAAAGAAACTAAAGCTTGCGTGTATTTCTTTGAATGATTGCAAAGTAAAAATACTCGTAAATAAGCGCTATGAGTCGTCTGTCTGCTTACGGTCAGAGCGTGTTTGGGCTCTTCCATGTGTTAATACGAGATGAATGGAGTGTCTGGAACTGAGGCTGAATTGTATTCACTAGCGTTAATGAAACAACCGCCCGAGGGGAGCGTCTAACCCAAGCATTTTGTAGCAGGTGCGAAAACGGGTCGCTCTTGGGACCAGATGGCGGTACCCATAAAACGTAGCTGTGGCCAGTTTTCAGTCCATTGTCGAAAAGAAGGCGATTGCGTCCGTCGTACGCCATGTTCCACGAAGACCCCGCGAAAGTTTTGTTATATATGGCAGCGAAGACTAAGTAGCGCCAGCTGGCCCGAAAGCCTGCGCGCGCCCACTCC